TTTTCTTTTGAGTATTTTAGGTTGACTACTGTTTGGCTCAACTATTATCCACTTCCCATGTCAGCTATGAAATCCAATAGTTGTCGCCAATTGTTTTCAACAGGTGCCCTTAGGTAAAACAGCTTTTCAAGTAGGGCAAACACCAAGTCAGCTTAAATAAAGACAGTCTTGCAAATGGGATCTTCCAGGGAACCACTAGATAGGTCAAATTGTGAGAACTCTCTGGAATGAGGTTTTGAAGGATATCTAAGCCTTTTCTACCCATTTTTGTGGCTACCAGACTGCTATTTTCTATCATAATTGTGGGATGTTGGTTTTCAAGGCTAATGCAGAATTGAAGTGAGGGGGATGGAATTAGAACAAATTAAAATGCACAAAGCTGACTGTTCTTACCGAGATTATGTTGCCTTTTTTTTTTTAATAAACACTTCCCAGGTTGCTGTGAGCTTTTGGTTAGTTTCCAGAGTCTTGAAAAAATTGATTCTGACAATTTCTTTGCTAGTTTTTTTCACTGCTTTAATGGAGGAGAGAATTTTCAGAGGTCTTTACTCTGTCATTTTCATTGACATCACCTGAGATATGTTTGAAATGCCCTTTTCTGTGATTATTTTCTCATTTCTCAAAACTCAGTTCAAATGTCTCCTCCATTGTGAAGCCCTCTGGGCAAAAGATTCAGCTATTCCTCTATTCTCCTATACCTCTGTGTTCGGTAATTTCACTTTTCACAAATAGCAGTTATTTATATCTGTTCCTGTCTCTCCTTTTAGCATGCTAGCTCCACGCCTGTGACTATTCATCCCTCATGCCAGGCTCCTTCCTGACACAGTTTGTAGACTGAAGAGCATTGCCCTAGGTGACCTCAGAACCTAACCAGGGGATTTTCAGCAATGGCCACCATTCCTCTCCTACATCTATAGTTCAGCTGACCTCCCTCTCTTGTTGTATTGTGTGCAAAGAGCTCTGTGTGCTGGCCATAAGCTCAGAGGACATACTAAGTGTATGGGGAACAGAGAGAGCAAAAAGGGAAAATAAAGCCTGTGTGGATGAGTTTCAACAGTGATAATAATAATACTAGACACCAAGATAAGAGCGTTATATTCAATATCTTATATAATTCTATCAATGTTGTTAGGTACTATTACCCTAATTTTATAGGTGAGGTCATTAAGGGAAATGGGAGATGAAACGATGAAAGCTTGACTCAGAAGCCCATATTCTTAGCCATTCCATATGAGGGCTCTATGAGAGGAAGATTGGAGGAGAGGAAGCCACACCAGCCTTTCCCTTCCCTGGGACTGTCCCACTTCCTTGTCTAATGGGATGTGGTTTCCAGGTGTGTTCAGACCAGCCTGGGCTCAGCTGGGCTATCTTATATTTTGAAACAAGGTAGCACTGAGGATTCTTATAATGACTGGCTCCTAGGGCAGATAGGGTGGAGAGGCTCCTCTTCCTAGTGTTAAGGTAAGAGGTATAGCCCTGAGGAGAAAGATCCCTCATCTTCATTGCAACAACTCCAACCTACGTGTTACAAGAGAAGAGAGTTAAGAGGAAGTTCCTAGGGGAGAAAACAGGAGGTTGTCCATGCAGGGCCCTGCTAGGGGCCCTGCTAGTTCAGCCCCCGCAACAGAGCTGCTAGAGGAGGCACTTTCCACCAGCCAAAAGAGGGGGAGAGAGAAGTTGGAGCAGAGATAGCACATGTGGGTCAATGGCACTGATGTAAGGTGACATCCCCAGACTGCTAGAAAAACCAAACCACACAGAAGTGAGATGTAATCCAGAGGGCTCAGAAACATTTCAACGAATGCTAATATCAGTCGCACTCAGCAGGACAGTCCTGTCAGCAGGAAGGGGGAATTGTGTTAGCATGCATGGGGCACACTTTTTGGCACAAGGGACCTGGTTGCTAAGCAACAGTAGTTGGCCTCCCCTCCTCCCCATAACCTTTTTCTGTTTCTGAGCTTCCAGTTAGCAGATGGGAGGGGCTGGGGCTGCCCAGCCCAGCCCAGCCCTTGGCCCCCTTCCCTACAACAAGGGATCTATTCATGGGTCCTGAGCAGAGCTTATTGTCTCTCTGGTGCGTGTGTGTGTGTGTGTGTGTGTGTGTGTGTGTGTGTGTAGGGGGGACAAAGGGAAGGGCCATGTGTAAACCAGGGAGACTTCATCCTCCAACCAAGCAGGCTGGGCTATTTAATCAATGCTGACACAAGGACAGGAGCAGAACCCTGCCTAGCAGACCCTGAAGGCTTATATCAGTGCCAGTGACCCACATGGTAAGACTATGTCTCTGTGCCATCCCCTGCCCTGGTCTTTTTCTTTCTTTTTCCTGCCTTTGGGACTCTAGGCTGGTGAAAAGAGCCTGCTTGGGCAGCTCTGGTACAGGGGCTGAGTCCTAGCAAGGGCCCTTTAGGGATAACCCCCTGTTTTCTCCCTAGGAACTGCATTTTATTCTCTTTTCTTGTCCTCCATAGGCCTAGTGAAGTGCTTTGCACATAGGTGATATTTAGCAAATCATTATTACATTGAACTCCCACTTCCAAAGAGGACTAAGAGGTCCTGTACTATGAAAGACCATGTTTTAAGGCCACCACATAAGCTTGGGTAGGTGGAATTTGAGGTAGGGCAATACCTAAGGTGAGGCTAGTTTGTTCATAGATTGGGTTTAAAGCCTAGCTCCCTGGATACTGAAACAGGAGGAAAGGCTGGGCAGGCCCTGAAATTCTTTCTAGAGCAGGCCCTACCTCTCTGCTCTGAGGGACATCAGCTCAAAAGAAGCTCCATAGAAGAATCTAAAACCTCATATGCCCACACTATTGCCTTCTCGGCTGCCTTTTCCAAGCCTGCTGTCCTTCAACCTCATTACCTGGGCCCTGTGAGTGTCATCTCTAAGCACAGAAGGAGTGTGTGTGTGGTAGGGTGCAAATCATGGCCAGTGTTTCTCCTGGAGAATCAACTGCTTCTGGTGGGAGATCCAGTCTTACAGGTCCTGGCTGTGATTGGTGTAGGGACAGGGAGGTGGGCTGGTACCTCACTTCATAGGAAGGTGTTGGACTGCTGGCCCATGTGTGAGCTGAGCTGGTGTGGATGCTCGTGGGTTCCAGGAAATTGTTTTCAGACCATTTGGAGTTAGCTGTCCTAGGTGAGTCTGACAAAGGCCTTCTGTACCATAGTCAGAGGACCAGGAAAGCCAGTTCAATGAACCATAAAGGCAGGAGTAAAGAGGGTTTTAGTGAGAAAAGTGCATTTCATTCAACACATGAAAATCACATCTAGGCCAATGATGTTTTGCAGTCATGTTTCAGGCTGTGAAACAGTGGAAATAACCAATGGAAACAAACTGTGTGTTGACAGAGACAGATCTGCAGGGCAGATGTGTCACTCCCACTATAAGAGGTCTTATCTACTCTACTGATAAGTTCCTGGAGGAAGGATCCGAAGCTTATATGTATTCCTTATTCATATTAATATAGTTCACATTTGCATTGTGCTTTATAATTTATAAAGCCATTTCAATCACATTTTCTTGTTTTCCCTTCCTTTCTTTCTTCCTTGTTTCCTCCTATGTACTTTATCTAAGTTCTCCTTTTGTGCCAAAAGGGGACCAAGAAGTCCTCTTATACACAGGCCCTGAGATACATAGCCGAATGAGGAAGGAAAGAGAAAGAAGCAGCATACACGGCCACAATAGGTGCTGTAGGAGTTGAGGAAAACTCCCTACTACGTTGAGTCCTGAAGGGTTAGTAGGAGTCAGCTTCCTGGGGAAGGGGACAGCAGGTGCAAAGTCTCTGTGGTGTGAGAGTGCCTCAAGGTGCTTGGGGATGGCATATTTATCAGCATGTCCCTGAGCTGGGCTGTGGAGGGACTTAGTGGGGGAAATAAGGAAGGGTGAGATCATAGATGGACCTATGGAGTTTGGATTGGTCCCAAGGCTGCAAAGATTCAGTGGTACTTTAAAGATGGGGTCTCCGTGCTTGCTTTGCTTTTTAGAGTAATTTTGCAGGTTACTCTGGCTCTGTAGTATAGAGAATAACAGAGGGAGATAAGATACTAGAGAAAGGAGATTACTCAATAGCAAGTATTACATTCTATAAATGAGAAAATTGAATCTCATTTATTTGGTGACATAGCCTGAGTTTTCCCAGTTCACATAATAGGTTATAGACCTTACTTTGAACTGTTTTTTTTCCCCTAAGATTTTATGTTTTGTTTCTCTTCTTCATGGCTCAAGAGTCTCAGACACACATATGACTTATTCTGCACTATGCTTTCTTGTGTATCTTGGCATACTCAGTCCTCTTTGCCTGGACTACCTAATGACTATATAGTTCAAGTCCTGTTCATCCATGAGGGCCTCTTTTTCTAGGAAGCCCCTCTTGATTTCATCAGTGTCAGTGGTAGTTTAGTTGAAGTTTTCTTGGGTCACTTAACACATTCCACTTTGTTTTTATGACATCTTTGGGACAGTATTGCAGATATTTTGAGGCAGTGGTGAAGTGGTTCATGCTTACTTATCCTGAACTCCCTACAGTATCCCCCATAGTGACCTGTGCACTTGGGCTAAATAATATTTTCTGAATGAATGAAGGGAAGGGTGGGTATAGGTAGGAGAGACTTCTTTCCCTCTGAGATAGAAAGAATGAAGGAAGGTAGGATCTTGAAGCCTGGACTGGGATATTGAGGGACCATCAGCCTTGATGCTCATGGGAGATAAGACCAGGGAGAGGTTAATCAGGAGTGTGGGCTTTGGAGTGACTAAGTCTGAATTCAAGTCTTCACTCTGATACTCAGGCTACATGAGAGTAAGATGGGTGAAGTTAAGGCCTCAAGGAGTGCCAAGAGGTCCTGCAGGGAACACATAGGGAGACCCCAAGGGGATAAAAGTTTGTAGGCAGCAGCAGGAGCACGGTCAAGATTAGAGTGTACACTTGGAGTGGGCTGAGGCTTTTCTCTGCAGACTTTGATGTTGGGATCCTGGGATCTGACAACTATTTCCCCAGAGCCTGATGCTGGATGATCAAGTACCTATGGAGGTTCAGTGTACAGAGGAGGGCCCAGCACCTGCGATCAGAGCAGAGCCGGGAGACCAGCCACAGCACAGTAGGCCTGACTGGGGAATGACAGTGAAGGGTAATCCTCTTATATTACCTTTCTTCTCCTTGGGTCAACCCTATATGATTGATGGTGAGAGAGTGTCCACTCTTTATCCCCTATTTGCTTTTGCTTTCTGTTTCCCATTGGGGAATTGAGTGGGACCTGGGGTTTCAGGGATCAGGGCATTGCACTTACCCATTCCAGGTTCAGGGAGCCGGGGTGGGCTCCTGCTGGAGTTTGGTGTGTGGAGTAAGGTTGGCTGGCAGGAGCTGAGAACCCAGAGAGCCCTCTGTCCTCCTCCACAGTCTCCAAGGTGGGGCGCTGGTGCTCTGTGCGACGTGGCTGTGTGGTGCTGGGAGCCCTGGGACTGCTGGCTGGTGCAGGTGTCGGCTCATGGCTCCTGGGTCAGTGCTGGGTCCCTTCTGTGGTCTTGAAGGGACAAAGACAGGATCTGGGGGAAAGTGGAAGGGAGAAGCAAGTGTTGAGCAGGCATTATAAGCAAGCAGCTGAGATGAGCACCTTTCTCAACTGCTCTGTATAGACAGTAAGAAGAGAAGGGGTAAATGCAACAGAATGGATTTAGGCTCCATGTAGAGAAGAATGTTTAGTCTTACTGTGAGAAGTAGTGTCCTGAGTTACCTGAGGATGATTCAGGGCAGCCCTAATCAGGCTTTTTCTAGAAGTCTTTTCCATGAGAAAGAAAGAGACAGACAGAGAAAGACAAAGAGAAAGACAGAGAGACAGAGACAGAGCATTGTGCCTCTCCTCTGAAGATTGGGTAGGGGGCACCTAAAGGCAGGTGGTGGAGAAGGAGTCCCCAGGTCCAGGTCTGCCTCTGCAGCAAGAGTGTCTTGTCCTGTGCCTTGACCCCCTCTCTTGGAAATTTGTTCCTTTGCCCCAGCTCTTCTCTGTGACTCTCTTTTTGTTCTTCTCTAAAGTACTGTATCTGTGGCCAGCTGCCTCTCAGCCCATTTCTGGGACCTTGCAGGATGAGGAGATGATGTTGAACTGCTCAGTGGCCAGCAATGAGGAAGTTCTGCTCCCTTCAATTCCCAAAGCAGGTGGGCCACACTCACGAGTGTAAAAGATATCCCCTCTCCTCTCAGCCCAGGGTCCTTTACATCTCTAGGATCCCCCCTCCCAGGAGCAGGAGGACCCAAATGAAGGGCTGTCAGTTCACTGCTATCATTTGCCTCTCCCTCCTCTAATGTGAGGGTGGTGATAGGTCTACCTAGCAGACCCTGAATCAGAATAAAAAAAAAGGTTGGGGATGTGATCAATGGTTAGGCACAACTAGGTTCAATCCCCAGTACGTACTTACACACACACACACACACACACACACACACACATACACACACACATATTTATATCTAAAAATATGCATAAAGCTACAAGCTAATATATAAAAAGAGCTTAGTTCAGAGACTGTGCAGTCTGCTTAGGTTGCCATAACAAAGTGCCATGGACTGAGTGGCTTAAACCACAATTAATTTTCTTAGTGTTCTGCTCAAGATAGGCCAAAGGGGTGAGAGGGAAGGGAGACATGGGGGTAGAAAAGAAGGTAGAATGAGATGGACATTATTACCCTAAGTACATGTATGAAGACATGAATGGTGTGAATATACTTTGTATACAACCAGAGATATGAAAAATTATGCTGTATATGTGTAATACAAATTGTATTGCATTCTGTTGTCATATATAATAAATTAAAATAAAAAATTTTAAAAAAAGTTTTCTTATAATTCTGGAGGCTAGAAGTTCAAATGCAAGGTGTTAAAAATTTGTTTTTTAGTAGTAGATGGCTGCCTTCTTACTGTGTCCTCTGGGGACCTTTCTTCTATTTGCTAGGACACAGAGAGAGAAAGTAAGCAACCATATGCTTGCTGTCTCTTTCTGTTCTTAAGAGGATACCAGCCCCATCAGATCAGACACCACCCTGGTGACCTCATTTAATTTTAATTACATTATTCAAGGCCCTATCTCCAATTACAGTCACATTGGGAGTGAGGCAGGAATCAGGGGTGGGGGGTGGGGCGGGGCACATTTCAGTCCTTAACAGCTTGATAAAAGCAGACACTCAATAAATGATAACTATTATTGTCATGAGGTTTGAAATCTGAAGACTTGGACTTAAGTCCTGTGTCCATCTCTTGCTCATTCTGTGCTTTTGGACAAGTTGCTTTACCTCTGTGCCTTATTTCCCTTTGCAGAATTGGAGGGTGGTAATAGTCATTGCATACAGCTGCCTTGATGAGTGATGCATGGAGCACCTTCCAAAGCACACAGTTAAACACAAAATGGAAAAATCTCAACAAATAGGGTTATATTATTTTTAGGATTGGCTTGACACATGGGGGAACAGGGAGACTGACATGGGGTGACTTGGATGACCACTGAGGCTTCTTCTGGTCCCACAGAGCTCCAGGTCCTCTTCTTCCTGTCCTATCCCTATCCCTGGGATATTGTTTTCATGCTGTGGTTTCAGTGTCTTTCAGAATAAATAGTGGGGACTTCTTGCTGGAAGTGAAGGTGAGAGCACGTCCAGCCTGGCTCTTGGTCTGCCATGAGGGCTGGAACCCTGCCCTGGGTATGAGGATCTGCCAGAGCCTTGGGCATCTCAGGTAACAAGAGCAGGATTTGGAGCCTGGGGGGGTGGAGGGTTACCTGGAGTTGGACACCTCCATTTTCCTGTCACCATCAAAGCACTCAGCAAATAGCAAGTGGTCTTTCTGATCATCTTCTAGCCTCTGGGCATGATGGTGCCCCAGCTATTTCTCTCCTTTGAGTACTGCTGCTTTTCTTCTGTTTTCTTTTAGCCTCACAGCTTTTTAACAAAAATAACTCTCAGAAGAAATCATTGTCTTAGTCATTACACTAGTTGAGTGTCTTGTGCACATTCTAGTTGTGATTAACCAGTATCTTTCCCACTGCAGTTTAAAGCTCATTTCCTCCCATTCTGTTCTGCCAAGACTCATTCACCATAAGGGAGTCAACCTGTCTGACACCATGCTCAACAGCTCCCAGAAGTTTGCTCGGCTCTCTCCTAGTCTGGAGGGCCTTCTGAAGGAGGTGTGGCAGCTCAGGTAGGGCTTCTGAGGTTAGGTGAGTGGGGCCCTTTATTTCCTGGTGGGCAGTCCAGAAAAATCTTCTTTCAGGGGAGATGGTGGTGAGGTCATTGGCAGTATAAGGAGGAGAGCAGAGGAATGTTTCCCAGTCAGAAATTACAAACCCAGTTCACATGGGCCCTGCTCATTACAGTGGCCATATGTTATTTGTCTCTCACAAGAAATGAAGGGCTGGTTGTTGTTATCTCAGGACTTGGAATGTTGCTCTTATCCCCTTTTACTGAGTCTCAGTGAGGTTAAAAAGTCTTGTCCAAGGTCTCATAACCGATAAATAGCTAGGCCAGGTCTTGAAACCAGGCCTCTCTCTAAGCTGAGTGATCTCTCAATGCTGCCACTTTATATTTATATAACTCTGGAATCTTTTGGAGAAAGATAGTCAAGTGGTTCTAGTTAAGAGCTGCTTGGGGCCTCAAGTATGTCCAAGAAAAGAGGCTTGGGAATGGAGCAGGCTCTTCCCCAAACCCTCAGGATGGGTTGGTGTGATTTGGCACAAGCTGAGAGGACTTTGTCCCTGCCTGGGCTTCCTCAAGCTGCCCAGAAATTTCCTGGGCTGGAGGGGTGGGTTCCCTTTCACTGCTCTGAAGCCTTCTCATCCTTGCCCTGCTTCTCATCTTTGTGCTTTGGGGCCCCTTCTGCCTAGCTCCTTCCCAAGGGGTCATCCCCAGGAATATACTGGAGGTAGAAGGCCTGACCAAGTCTTTGTCTTAGATTCCTGAATGGTCAAGTGGATATGGGAATGGGACTGATTCCTCTAGGAGAGCAGATGGGTGGCTGTAGGTTTGGAAAATTAGAATCTAAGAAGACTAGGCCTTGGGCTGCAGGAGGAAAGAGATGAGTAAGGAAAGAGATGAGCACTGGGTCAAAAAGGAATTGAGGCTTATCCTAAGAGAGACAGATGCTGGGTGTGATCGTGTACACCTGTAATCCCACTTGGGAGCTGAGACAGGAGGATCGAGAGTTCAAAGCCAGCCTCAGCAACTTAGCAAGGCCCTAAGCAACTCAGTGAGATAAAATACAAAATAGGTCTGGTGACATGGCTCAGTGGTTGAGTGCCCCTGAGTTCAGTCCCTGGTACCCCCCCACCACACACACACTCCCACCCCCCCAAAGAGAGAAGCAGGAAAGAGGAGAGCAAAAATACAAATATGCAGACCTGGGACAGAAAACAGTGAACCTGGCCTGGAAAGGAGCACAGGGAAAAAGGCTCTATTCACTCATCCACTCAATATCCATTCATTTACCCACTGAATATATGTTTATTCAGGGCCTTTTAGTGGAAACAGCTGGATTTTCTCATCTATAAATAACCACATTTGTAAATTTGGGCCCTGACCAGATGGATCCTTAAGGACCTTGAAAGCTTTCTGTTACCCTCTGGAAGACCTGGCCTACTGTGTGCTGTTGTCCTGAGAACTGCTTACAAGGTGTTTGGGTGGAGGCAGGAAGAGAAGGGTGGTGTTCTTCAGGCCTTCTACATGACAGCCCTAAGAACTGTTTACCACCCCCCCCCTCCATGCCTGGGGCATGTGTGGCCTCGGGTTGGCCCTGTCCAACTTCTTGCTGCTGCCTTTTTGCAGGGACAACTGTACTTCTGGTCAAGTTGTTTCCCTCAAATGCTCTGGTGAGTCATGTCCTGGACCTAGGAAAATGGGTGAGAGAAAGGAGTTTCCCTGCTCTGCTGAGTATGGAGTATGGAAGAGCCTTGTAGAGAGGCTCAGTTGGGTCTGAGTGGTCCTTGCCCACGTGCTCATCCATATGCTGGGCTCCTTCTCGCAGGTGAAGTCTGCCCAAACAAAGCCCCTTTAGTTCTCTGTTATGTCCCCAACCAGGTACCGTGCTGGCTAATCATGTTTCTATTTCACTACTCCACTCTATCTTGGCCTCTGGCATTTAATGCCCCTTTCTTCTGAAGAACCTGAAAGGTGGAATTGTTATTGGCTGCTGAGAAATTTGTTAGTAGTTTCAGGAGACTAAGGGTGGGTAGTGAATTAGGGTCCAAACGGGAAACAGTCTGGGTCCTTTCACCTCTCTTCCCACCCATCTATCCACATATCCATTGGACTTCTACACATTTATCCATACTTTGACCTCTACTGTGGAATCGACATAAGGGCTCCATAGATCCCACAAACACCATCCCTTCTGTCAGAAAGCCCACAGATGGGTAATCAACATTCCTATCTTCCTATTCCCCCTACTTAGGACCAGGAATAATAAATGAGCTGTTCACACTGGCTCTCAGGCACTTGGCTTTCTCTTTCTGGCTTACCCTTCTCTGTTGGCAGAGTGCGGCACAAGGCCTCTGGCTTCCCGGATAGTTGGTGGGCATGCTGTAGCTCTTGGGCGCTGGCCATGGCAGGCCAGTGTGACCCTTGGCTCCCGACACACATGTGGGGGTTCTGTACTGGCGCCCCACTGGGTGGTGACTGCTGCGCACTGCATACACAGGCAAGTCTTGGGGGCTGATGGGGAGGTGAGGATCTCAGTTACCTTTTCTGTTTGTCCTGTATAAAGTGTCCTGTACAATTGCTGCCTCCAGGTATCCATTCTAAGTGGGCAAGGGTGGTATTCTCCCTGTCAGTGTCAAATTCAGCTCTGCACAAACAACAGTAGTCAAAGACTGGTTCTTTATATTCACACAGTTTTTAAGTTTCTAAGATGCTTTTGCATTCATTGCACTCTGCTTCTTAATGTTTATTACCACTGTAATTAAATCGTTTTTCATGTAATTACTAATTGAATGTCTTTCTCCACCTTTTAGATTGGAAGCTCCAGGAGAGCAGGGACTCTTGGTCTCATTGGTCTAAGAATCTAAAAAGACTCTTGGTCTAAAAATCCCTTTGTAGATTTCTCCACTGCTGTGTCCTCAGTGACTAGAACATTCCCTGGAATATAATAGATGCTTAATCAATATTAGTTGGAGGGATGAACAAATGAATGATGAATGGATGAGTTCTTTGAGTCTCTTCTCTTGGTGGCAGGCAAGTCAGAGAGTATAAACTTAATTTTATGGGGAAAATGTTGCTAGGGAGGGAAGAACCTCCCTCAGGTCACACACAGTGTGACAGGTCTGAGGGAAGTTTTTTGACATAGGTTGGAGTTTTCATATCTTACAAGGCCTTCCAACATTAAGCCTGAAGGGTGATTATACAGGAGAGAGGGAGCAATTGGTGGTTGCAGATGACCTGTAGTATCTTGTTTCTCTGTCCATCAGTCATTAAGCACCTGTTAGGCACCTACTGCATGTCCAGTGTCTTGCCAGCTGCTAGGGTGATAATAAGAGGCATGATCCTTGGGTCCCAGGAACTTGGAGGTTTGTGACAGTGGTCCCCTCTAATGACCTCTCTGGCCAACTTCCTCCACTCACTACCTTACTTATGTCTACCTTCTCTAACTCTTCCTTCCATGGGCTCAGCATGGTCTCTTTGTGCAGTTTCAGGTTGTTCCGCCTGTCCAGCTGGCGGGTTCATGCAGGACTGGTCAGCCATAGCACCATTAAGCCACACCAGGGGGCTATGGTGGAGAAAATCATCTCCCACCCCCTCTACAGTGCTCAAAGTCATGACTATGATGTTGCCCTTCTGCGTCTTCGGATACCACTCAACTTCTCAGGTGAGAGACCCTGGCCCTGGGACTACCAGGCTAGGAATGTAGTGAGAGAGGAACAGGGACTGGGTGGCAGGAGAGGCTAGCTGATTTCTAGGGTATCCTCCTAGCACTGTAAACTAAAAAGTACACCATTCACTTTGGATCATAGTGACTTTTGCAATATCCTAGACCTGAAGTTGTTCCAATTCTTGAACAGGCTCTTTTAGGGACAAAAATTCAGGCCCTCTTCATAAAAGGTCATGCTGATTGAATTTGCTTTGACGTCCCAAGCAGGGTTTCACAGGTGCCTCATTCAACAATAGACTGCTCTACCCCTGTTCCCAGACTGGTCCAAAGTCCCAACCATTTTGTGAAATGTTGGAGTTAAAGAAATTTACTTCTCCAAATATCCTTTCTCTCAGTCTTTGTAACAAACCTGGCAAGTAGATGAAATGTATATACAGACAAAGACATTGATGCTCAGGGAAGGAAGTAACTTTTTTAAGGTCATGTGACAAACTTCTGCCTTCAAAGCCAGGACTCCTCTTGCCAAAGCACCTGCCATAGAAGAATGAGCCCAGGCTGCAGTTGTTCCAGCTGCTGTTCCCCTGAACATGCACCTGCATGTGGACACTCTGCTACAAACACACACTTACAGAAAAACACACATGTGTGCACTGGGTTACATATACAGACACACCTGTGCATTCACACGTTCTCATGCACAGACATGCTTACCCCATCTGTTTGTGTGCACTCACATGCCCACGCTTACTTGTGCACACACAAACTTATGCACTCAGCACTCCTCTTTCCCATCACTATCCACTTGGATTTCTCAAACAACAGTGGTTGCTATACGCATTTCACAAATCTTATCACATATGTGTACTATTGCTCAAATAGTTAATGTTTCTAAATTAACTTACATAAATATATTTTAAAGAGAAAACTACCTGATTGGAGAACCTATATAACTATAGTAAATAGGTAGTAACTATAAAAATATGTACTCTGAAAACAAACTGATAAGTAAGTTCTAGGTTGCTGGAGTCCTCTGTAGGGGTTGTTGGGCCAGGGCCTGCTCTCCTCTGTTCAGTGGGAGATTGACAACATTGAGAGAAGTACAAACTAGCACCAGACAGAGTCTTTCTCCTTGATTCAATAAGAGGTACTGAAAGAGAATTGAAAAGGAAATAGTTCTCTCCCCAAATGAGTGAGTGTTTATGAAATGGCACGTCTATATTCTATCTAAAATCATGTTTGGCTCCACCTATAGGATGTGTCATATACTTTTGGAAATACTTCTCTAGGGATCAGATACCCTAGGGAAAGCCAAAACTGGGTTCTTGCTAAAAATTTTGTACCCAGGGCCAGAAGGTGTTTCCATTCTCCCTCAGTCCCCAGGTGGAGGTAGAAAGCAAGTGCATTGCCTACCTCTAGAGGGCGCCATGCACAACGCAGTTTACACATTGTTTCTTAAAAAGAGTCCTTCCCAGGGTGGGACTGTGCCCAGCCTGGACAGCCCTACATGAAGCCTGGTGGAGGCAAGGCACCAGGACTGTTGAGAAGGGGGATAAGGAGGATCTTTGCCCAGCCTCTGCTGGAGGGAAGCCAAGCCTGAATCGGGACCAGGACCTTGTGCCTCTCCACAGACACTGTGGGCGCTGTGTGCTTGCCAGCTGAGGAACAGCATTTTCCAAGTGGCTCGCAGTGCTGGGTGTCTGGCTGGGGCCACACCGACCCCAGCCATAGTGAGTCAATTCCAAGGGCCCTCAGTGCAAAAGGGGTGGGATGAGGCATCGTTCTCCAAGGGGAGGCACACCATTTTCCCTGGCCACATGGCAGTTCCAGCCCTCATTTCCCCTGGCACCACCAGTGGCCAGTCCTGGGGGATCCAGTCTTCCCTGGCTGGGCTTTTCTGGGGAGAACAAGCACTGATGTTTTCCCTAAGCCCAGAACCTTTTACCCCCTATCCCCTTGTCCCAGGAGTGCCATGGCCTCGGCATTTGGTATATGTGTGAGTTCTCCTCCTCCTCTCCTCATTTCCAGACCCTAAATCTTCTAAACCCCAGCACCCTGTTGTGGTCCACAACTCCTGTCCTTGGCTCCCCTTTTTGAATCTCCATGCCTCTGGGACTACTAACTCTTTCCCTCTTGCTGCTCTGTCTTCTGGCCTTGCTTGGTATCCTACAGCTTTTCTTGGTGTCTCCCGCAGCCTACAGCTCAGACACGCTGCAGGATACAGTGGTGCCCCTGCTCAGCACCCAGCTCTGCAACAGCTCCTGCATATACAGTGGGGCCCTCACCCCTCGCATGATGTGTGCTGGCTACCTGGACGGGAGGGCTGACGCATGCCAGGTGTGGCCTGTGGTGGAGGGAGGGGACAGGGACCTGCTGCAGCTTGGTCCCTGGTCTGCCTATGTTGGTAGCATGAGACAGACTCTAGGAGGAATGCTCATGCTAAGGGATTATGGAGGGGGAGGCCAGCAGGTATCCTAGCAGGAAGCAGGGAGGCCTGGGAAGGAGACCCCCATTCTTCATGGGGATCTGGTTCTCCTCCACCAGGAAGGTCTGACTGTCTGTTTCTCTGTGTCTCCATGCCTGGATACCTCAGGGGGACAGCGGAGGACCCTTAGTTTGCCCAGATGGGGGCAAGTGGCACCTCGTGGGTGTGGTCAGCTGGGGACGTGGTTGTGCAGAGCCCAATCACCCAGGTGTCTACGCCAAGGTGGCTGAGTTCCTGGACTGGATCCATGAAACTGTGCAAGTGAGTGTGGGGGCAGTGATGGGGTGTGAGGCTTCTAAAGGACCTGCCCCTGGACACTGTGAATCTCACCCCATAAGCCTTGGCCCTGCTGAGGGAAGGAGAGGGGACTAGGGAATGTTCTCTAGAATGTAAGGAAGAAGTAGTGATGTTTATAACATGGAATCCATTGGATTTCTATTAATTTAAGCATTAACTGGGTAAGAATAGACTTGAGTTTGCAACCTAGGTCTGCCCTTTCCTGGGTGACCTTTGGCAAGTTCCTACCCTTGGTGAACCTCAGTGTCTTGGTCATAGCCATCCTGGCTATGTTATATGCTACTCTGATGATTAAGTGGGATGAGACCTGTCAATGCCTGTATAGTGCTAGGCTTAGGGTAAGTGATCCAGAGTATTATTAATGTAGTTATAAGTTATTGTTATTCATCCCTAGTCCCTAAATCAGTTATAAGTGACTGCATTGCTTATACTATGGAGAAACTCAAGACTTAGCTGAATTTCTAATTAACCTAATTAAACTCTTGCGAGACACTAGGCTTCATCTATTCAGTGAGGGGGCCATATTCAATAGTGTATTTCAAAGCATAGTATTTGTGTTAAGTACAATGGCAAGGGTGTGATAATGGAAATCATCTTTCTCTGAGGTTAGGCATAGAAGCAGGTGGTAGATAATACATTTTAGAGTGTCAGGGGATGTATGGATCCATCCTCTCATTCAAATCTTCCAAAATTTCTAGAGCCCCAGATATTTTTAGTCTCCTCTGATAGAAGTGGAAATCAAGGTTCTGAATTGTTAAGTGATTTACTAAGATAAAAGTCACTTGGCTAGTGTGTAGTGGAGCATGCTGGGAATCCAGCCTATTCCTCTTTTGGTTCAGGACTCTCTGTGCTAAGTCCCATTGTTTGCTGCAATTTCACGCACATTGGTGTCATGTCTCCTGTGCTCTTTGGCAGGTTCACTAGCTGGAGAAGAAGCAGCCTCCATGGATGGATGCAGGAGTGAATCTCCTACCACTGTACACATGACCATCACCACCCACAGGCCAGCAGCTGGGCCACCTGGCCTCTCCCCTCAGACCCTGATTTCTAGTCCCTCTTTCTCATCAAAGCAGCTCCAAGACAGGAGAGAGGCTGGAGTTGGATTGGGAATGATGTGGGGAGCTGGGGGCTGAGGAGGTTACGGTGAGAGATAGAAGAAGCTACTGGAAGCAGCTGGGGGCCTGTCCTTTTGCCCTGTCCTCTCTTCAGCTCCTGTTTGCATATTTGGGGAGGATTCTCAGGGGTTCTCCTAGTCCTGCCTTCTCCCTGTGCCCTCAGGTGGGCTAAGTGCCTCCCTAGAGGAGTGCCTAGCTCAGGAGCTCCTGGGAAGAGAGGATCAAAGCTGGATAGCCCAGTTATAAGCCCATGGGAGTCAGGATCCTCCCCCCTCCCCTGTTGTCTCACCTGTTCTTATCTAGCTGTGGCAGGTCCTGCATGGGGCAGAGACACTGTAAAACAAGGAGGTTGGAATTGGAAAATAGCGTATGGTTTTAAAATGATAGTCTGTGAACTGGTTCAAAGAGTTATGTTATTAAATTGAAGTTATGTTTGGCCCTTGGTCTGGATTTTCCCCAGCCCCCTGATTTGTAAATTATGGGATAGAAATACAGTTTTGCTCTCATATATTTTCTTTACTTCCTTCTTTCCTCCTCCTCTTCCTCTTCTTCCTCTTCCTCCTCCTTCTCCTTCTCCTTCTTTCTTTCTCCCGTTCCCCCTACCGCCCACCCTCTCTCTTTGTACTGGGTTGTATCCAGGGGCACTTTACCATGGAGCTACATTCCCAGTCCTTTTTATTTTAAATTTTGAGACAGGGTTTCACTAAGTTGTCCAGGCTGGCCTTGAACTTGTACCTCCTGTCTTAGCCTCCTGAGTCACTGATATTACAAATGCGTGCCACTATGCTGGGCTCATACATAGTTTCTGAAGCTTTGGTATTGACTTCTGTTCATCTACTCCAGAATTTTGGCAGGTGCCTAATTTTTTAAAAAATTTTTTAGTTTTATTTTTTAGTTGTTGATAGACCTTTATTTATATGTGGTGCTGAGAATCGAACCCAGTGCCTCACACATGCCAGGCAAGTGCACTACCGCTGAGCCCCAGTCCCAGCCCCCTAATTTTTAAATTCTTTACATTTGTTAAATCTACATCATGCTCTACAGTGAAAAATTCCAACTGTCCAGGGTCTCTGCAGCTTTGAGTCTGATAATACTTAAGTTGGTGCTCTCTTAGGGAAGGTTTGGCTTCCCCGCAGGTTCCATCTCTCTTCCTTAGCTCTTGTTTCAGAATTCAGCCTTTTGGCTTGGGGAGATCTCTTTCTGAGTTTATGCCCAGTTAGCATTTTCCTGGCAAAACTTCTCCTGTACACTTTCCTCTTTAGCAATTAAAATGCAATTGGCATCTTGTTTCCAAAAACTGCAATGAATTTTTTATCGTGCTTACCCAAGGAAATGCAATTAGCGTTTAGCAATAACGGGACTTTGTGAGTTTATCAGCATATTTTCTGAGGGTAGTACAAGTGATTCTTCCTTCCTGGAGGGTCTGCTCCCTTTACATGATGTACACTAAAATACAGGAGCCTCCATTTACTGTCAGGTTTATTACCTGGGGAAGACGTTGCTGGGAGTCAGCTGTCAAATTATAAAAGCAACAGAGGAGCATTCTGGTGGGTGGCAAAATACCTCCAGCCTGGAGCTTGAAGTCAGCATTTACTACTGGGTTCCTTTAGGTCCCCACCAGAAGGCAGTAAGAGAGCTGCAGGTCTCCAGGGCAGAGAGGAGCCAATAGCAAATCCATCAACTATGATCTTCTCAGTTCTTCTGATGCCAACCATAACATAAGTATTTGCTTATTTAAAAGAAAGGGATTTATTATTACCATTATTATAATAATCAGAACCTTTCAATAATCTGGATCATTTGAATAATACTTTGTAGTTTTTATAACCTATTCATGTGTGAGATCTCCTAATATTTATGTGAAGATATTATTATTATTGTCCCCATTTTACAATCAAGAAAATTTGTTCAGAGATTAAGTGACCCACCCCCACAAGCCCTGAGATCACCCAGCTAGGAAGAATCAGAGCTAGGATGTGAACTATGGGTCTTCTTGCTCCAAAACCATGTCACTGTCTTGCACATGGATGAGTGAGATCATTCAAAATTCACTGAAGTTTGGAACTGGAAGGTGTTTGATCAGATCACCTGGCCCAGCTACCTGCCTACCATAATTTATCGCCATGACTACCTTGTATAGATTAGGTGAATCTCAAGAATTTAAAAGGCTCCTTCCAGAGACCTTCCTCAGGAAACATTCTTGGAAACTCGCACTTCTCTTGGAGATTCAACACCTAACTTAAACCGTATAAATGACTGTCTTCCATAGGAGAACTGGAAAGAGTACCCTAATTGGCATTTGCTAGTAGTGATCCTTTGCTTATAGAAGTTCCCAGTGGATTTTGCCAAGCTGCCAATCAGATCTCTAAACCCTGAAGCTCTCATTTCCCTTTGTTAGCATCTGCTAGACCAGCTCCTAGGAAGTGAAGAGAAGGGAATGGCCTGGGTTGGCTCTGTTCCTGTGGGCCAGTTGCTGGAATGTAAGGGTGGAATTGGTGGCAAGGAAGGATGGGAAGATTCAGGTCCAGAGAAGTATTAATGAGGACAGACTAGGTTCCCAGCTGTGTTCAGTAAGCTCTGTGGGGAATTCAGAAGCAGAGAAGCTGTCTTACTGGAGCTATGAGACTTAGTTGCAATAAATTATTAGTGACTGCCCAGGCATGAAGCTGAATGGGGAGGCAGTAATTGCTCAGGAAGCTCCAAGGGCCTATTGTTGAGTGAACAGGGCATTTCTTTGTGTGGAGAGTATGTGCCTTCCTCCCCAAGGATTCAGCACCCCACCAGCCTGGGCAGTAATGTGGAGCCTCCTGAGATTTCCCAAGAAGGTGATTCCTGGTCACCAGTCAGGGAAGGAGCCCTTCTCTCTTCTACTTTTCCATGCTGTGGGGATGCCATGGAGTGCAGACTTTCTCTCCTCAGGATACTTTCTGTGGATCTTGCTTTTCCTAGAAGCATGGCTGGGAAGAAGTGGGTAGCCCTGCTATTCCCTGGGGACATTTCTTGGGCTCTTTCCTTCATTTTCTTTTTGAAGGTGTCACAATAGGACAAACTGCAAATGCTAGAAACTGGTGCAGAAGCTGTCAGGAGGTGTTTTTCTCAGGCCCTCTGTTGTTTTATTTTGGATTTCTCCTCTGCTGTCTCCTGGTCATGCACTTAAGGACCTTCTTGGCTACCAAAAGGAGAGTCCACCTTTACCTGCCCCCTTCCAGCCTCTCAGCATCCCTCTCTACCTCCTTGTCAGAGACATTTTCAGGACTCGGCTTCCTTCTAAACTGACTGGCACCTCATGTTGTTATGGTTTCTTTGTGCCTTAAGTTCCTCCACCTCCATGAAGGCTCCTAGGGAAGTAGGGAGGGAGTAACTTCTCACTCCTGAGGGGTGAGGCTGATCTTTCCCACACACCCCAAGGCTGGGAAACGGAGAGGTGGGGCATGCTGTCACCTGCCTAGGATTTCAGCAGGATGGAAATCATCAGGGAGATCTCTGGAAGACTTTTAAGCTGGAGTTGGTGCTGGAGTGGACCAAGATGGATAAGAATGGAGAAGGAAGTTCCTCCACTAAGGTGCCTCTCTCAGAATAGCACATGGACCTCTGATAAGGCAGAGACCTGTCCAGGGATGAGTTTAAACTTTCTCTCTTCCAGGGAATCTCTGGCCATAGCATCTAGTTTCTGATGGAGTTGCATCTAGGTCTCAATTCACATTGGAATGTATTTGCATTAGTCAGCTTTTCATTGCTGTGACCAAAATACTGGACAAGAACAACTGAGAGGAGGAGAAGTTTAATTTTGGGCTCCTGGTTTCATAGGTTCAATCCACAAGTTGGCAGGCTCCATTGTTCTGGGCCCAAGAAGATGCAGAACATCATGGCAGAAGGGCATGGTGGAAGAAAGCCGGTCTTCTCTTGGCATCTAGGAAGAGAGAGAGAGAGAGAGAGAGAGAGAGAGAGAGAGAGAGAGAGAGAGAGAGAGAGAGAGAGAGAGAGAGAGAGAGAGAGAGAGAAAGAAAGAAGAGATAAGAAAGATAAACTCTAAGAGCATGCCCTCAGTGACCTACTTCTTGTGGCCTTCAGTTTCCACCCAGTACAGTTGTTCTTTTAAATTATTAACCTATCAAATTATTCACCTAATCCATCAAATTGTTAATCCATTCAAATTATTAATCCATCAAATCATTAACCTAATCCATTGATTAGGTTAGTTCTCAGAATCGAATTATTTCAGCTCTGAACATTCTTACATTAACACGTGAGCATTTGGGGGAGACACTTTATATTCAACCCATTCCTGTATTCACCCAAACTGAGCTAATGATTCAGCCTCCCAGGATTTGAGTCTTTTACTTGTCAAATTAGGGATCTAAGCAGGGAAGTCTTCATGGGACTTGCCCTGTCAGATTAACTTCAATTCAAAACTCCTTTGCCTTCTGAGATATTTGCCCCATCACTTCCAGTTTGGATACCCTTTGAGAGGACCCTATTTCCAGGATAGTCTTAAAGAAACCAGCTTGCTTATGACTTCACAGTACTACAGGCTTCTTTCCCCCATGTCTGCCTTCTGGATCCCTGGGAGTAACAGACACCTGGCAGAAGATTTTAAAGACATCTTTCCCCATCTTCTGCCCAGCATTTGTACCCTGTGCAAAGGGTTCAAGGAACAGCTCAAGCCCCTTGATCTGGCAGTTTACTCAGGTTCTTCCCTGATCACTTCTTGACACCCCAGGCTTTGTGTGGGGTCACATGGGTCTCAGTTCCCCAAAGGTAGCTTCTCACAAAGACCACAAACACTTTGCTCCCATTTCCCCTGACAGTTCCTAGCCTGGCCATGAGAGCTCCCTCCCCTCTCCAGTCTTCCCCATGTACAAGGTAGAACAATAAGGACAGTTTTGGGCTAGTGGAACCATTAGCAGTTAGCTGGTGTCAGGGAAGGAGAATCATTCCTCACATTTCCTCAGGGTGACCCATCTTCCTAGTTTGCCCAGAACTACGCTGATTTTAGTACCCATGGACTAGGTACTTTGGGTACTAAAATCAGTACCCAGGAAACCCTTCATTCCTGGGCAAAACAGGACAGTGGGTCATCCTGAGCCCATTGTCTTTCTTCTGTATAAAAGGAGTTTGGCAAACCACAGCCCCCCCCACCCCCGCCGCAGACTCCTTCCAACCTCCTTCAGTATTATTCATATACAGGAGGGAGCCCTCCTGGGATCAGAAGAGGAAAGTCCTGGAAGTTTCTGAGTTCTGGACTGTTTTGCAAAGACAGCAACATCTGTGGGTACTGCCTTGGCCTTGGGACCCTTATGGAGAGAGTCCCTTTTTCCACAGAGCCCTCAGCTAACCTGGCTGCTGCTTCTTCCCCATAGTGGCTCCTGAGTCTATAGCCAAGGTGGCCCTGTTTTGCCTCACTTAATATTTTAAGCACACAGCCTGGCCCTCCTGGGCCCAGAAGCTCTCTGACAGTTGAGGGGAGGCTAGGAAGGTGAGGTAGGGATAATGCCACTCCAGGAATCCATGAATATTGATTTCCCAGTTGCCCCAGGTATCACTGAATTCTGGTCCCTAGAATCTGGTCCCAGGCCCAGCATGTAACAGGTACTATATGAGAGTAATTGAACCCTTGAAGAGGAGGAGGAAGGCTCCCATGGGAGCTGGAATGGGCCTCTTCTCCTAGCCTCTGCTTTTCAGAGGTAATCAGAGAGGAGCAAAGAAGAGACTGCCAGACTGCTAGAGCCCACAGGGATTTTGTGGGGTTTGTTTTTCCTCAGCACTGCCTGCTGAGGTAAG